ATCTGTTTTCACGAGAAGCCACTTTGAAGATATCAATATGTAATACAACCACCATTGTTAATTCCCTACCACTTTGTTTGTAACTCTGTGTTGTCTGTATTGTGCTTGTGATATGTTGTAAAATGTTGTATGTCTGTTAATGTTTGCCTCCTTTTATCTTTAAAATTAAAAAAATTTTTAAAAAATAAATAAATAAATAAATAAAATAAAACGAGAATGTGGATGTGGAGGGACACAGGGATCCTCCACCAGCCGCTTAGGGCTGTAGCAGGCTGGGCGGAAGACCGACGCCACTCACCGCGCGGTAACCAAGTCGGAGGAAGCCTAGCCAGTAACCTCCACCGGAAGGACCACACACACCCCCGCCTCCCCCGGTGCGCAGCGACGTGTGCACTGCGCGTGCGCAGCCCCCAGCGAAGCCCCGCCCAGCCTGTGACGCGCGTGCGCGTGGGTGGAACCCGGCTCGCGGGGTGGTGGGGTTGTGTCTCGTGCGGAGGTGTGGCGACTCCGGCCGCGACACGGGAGCGGGGAACCCCTCCGTGCACCCCTCCGTGCACTGGGTCCGGGGCGCCGAGCAGGGTGAGCGCACGGCGTGGGCGGGGTGGGGAAGGTCGGGACGGCCGGGTCGCTGGTCCCGCGGGTCGCCTTCCACGCGGCTGCGCTGGGCCTCCCCGCACGTCGGGCTCTGCCTCCGAGCGTCCCTGCCCCTCGCGTCTTCATTCACGCTCCTTCCTTCATTCTGCCGGCCCTGCTGACGCGCCCAGCGCTGTGCCGCCCTCCGGGAGCTTGTCAGGGCAAAGAGGTCCAGCTCCCCCTGCCCCCGCTTGGCTGACGCGGGACAGTGCGCTCGGGGCTGGGGAGGTGACAGAGGAGCGCGCGCGGGGGTGGGGATTGCTTCTACCTGAGCTGTCCCGGACCAAGGTGGACAGGCAGGACCCAAGAGGGCTCTCTCCGTGGGACGCATTTGCAGCGGAGAGAATAAGCTCCAGGGGCCGATGGGTCCAGGCAGGAAGGTTTTATCCCTGGAAGCCATAGCGTGGTGATAGGAGCGGAGAGAAAGCCTGCATTGCTGGGTGGGTCGCGGTGAACGCAGCGCCTCGCCCTGGTGTCATCCACCGTCTGCGGTGAGTCCCAGGTGTCTGTCCCGCATTTCTGTGCCGGGATGCCAGTGCTGAGCCACACACCCTCGTCCTCCAGGAGGCAGGACTCCTCTGGCCCAAAGCCATCAGTGGTAGACTCTCAGACCTCTGGAAAGAGCATCCTTGGGGAGACGTGGGTGCTGAATGCTGTGCTGGGCCGTCCCTCTGCCCACTGTGCCGAAGAGAAGCGTTTTAGTGAAGCGACAGAATGGTGTCGCTATTCTGTTAGCAGTGTATGCGTTCCTGGAGAAGCTGGCAACCATACTGATACAAGCCAAGAATTGCCGGTGGTCCTCTGCTCCTGTCGTGCAGTCGGGTGGCTGATCGGGTATGTGTTGCTGTGCCTCGCATATCCCTGTGTGGAACGCAAGAGGTGGGGAGCTGTTCCTACAGAGAACTCCGGAAGTGCCTCTCCTCCAGGCATCGGGTGAAAGGAGAGAGCAGGTGGTGTTGACAGGGCTGATCAGGAATGGATTTTTGCCAAGAAAAGTCTTTTTACATCTTCCGGGAGAAGGGGTGTAGGTTTGCTGATGTACTTTATTTTTGGACACATTTTTGGCTTAGGTGGCGGTCATTTGGCGTCATAGCCCTTTCCTATTCTTTAAGTGAAAACCTGGCCGGCACATTCGGCAGCACCGGTCAGAATCACCTGGAGCGTGTGTCTCTGAGAGCCAGACTGCATCCCAGCTCCTGGAAAGCTAGCAGGTTCTGGATAGGTTTCTGCCTCAGCACACTGGTCCACACACAGCTCTCCTCTGACTCACGCCCCACCTGATAGGGTGGCCCTGGCCAGAGCCAACCTGTGTTTGTGAACCCACACCCACTTTCTGCCCGACCTCTCACCCTTTCCTGCCTGGCTTCCCTTCCCTACAGCCTCACTCCTCACTGCAGTAAAGAACACTACCCCCAGGTGGAGTTATTTTCACCTCAAGTCTCTGGGGAGTGCCAGCAGGGCCCATGGAAGTGCGGTGTACCCTCCTGCCAGTGTCTTAGCTGTGAGGAACCCCTTTACTCTGAAGTGAAATTGGGGTGCACGGTGGACCTCGATGCAGAGCTGGCCTGTGGGCCCAACTGTTTTTATCTGCACTTCCTCTTTGGACTGTTTATGACATCCTGCACTTGCTGGTATGTGAGTTCCTGTGGGTGTTGCTTGGTTGTCTAAAGCTGTCATATATTTCTAGGGAATGTGCAAACACAGAACTCCTTGTTTGGAGGCAGAAGTCAGGGACTCATCCACCCTGCCACGTGCCACTGCATAGCCCCAGGCACACCCATTCCAGGTACTGTGGGGCTTGGGCGTCCTGGGAAACAGCAGGCAGTGACAGAAGCCTGTGGGTTCCTGATAGGAGATGGTATATCAGGGGCTTTTAGCGGGTAGGTACATTTCATGGAGACCCAGGCTTGCTTGAGATCTGGTAGACACTTGTCCGGCTGGTCCTTCCGCTCACAGTATTTAGCTTGGCACTGGCAGGATTCCTGAAACCTGGTTTTGCATCAGATTTTATGGTGCATTCTCATGGCTACATGGTGTCAGTGTTGCTTTGTGTCCTCACTATTAATCCCTGAAGTTGACCACTTCAGAACTTTCTCTGTAAATACCATGTCCACTTCTAATGAGCATATGCGAAGGTTTGGGCCATGGTAAGCTAGGAGGGGAAGCCTGCGAGAGAGGTGGCTTCAGGGTGACATCAGCTGCCTTGGGATGAGCATTCGCCACACCACGTGTCTCTCTTGATCTCAGCTAAAGTCTCTTAGTGCAGGCAATTCCCAGGTACTGCCTTCCAGCCCGACATCTCACGCACGGAGCTGTCCCATGCTGACTGATGTCCCGTTGTCATGTCAAGCTCGGCGTGTGGGAAACCTACTCACTGTGCCTCCTACCACTCCCCAGTGGCTGTCACCTGGGTGCTGGGGCACCAACAGTGCCTCTTTCACTTCCTTCCTGCCCTGCTGGGCAGGTTGTGAAGCTCTGGGTGGGCAGATGCAGTCTCCTACAGATGCTAGTATTTCAGATGGGGTTGGCCCTGCCTCCAGAGAGGTCCCTTCCAGCCGCAGAGAAAGTGGGCCGTATGCCCAGCCCCATGGGTCATTCACCAAGGTGGTGGTGCCTGTAGGGCACCATGATCCTAAGGGAGGGACCTGCGCTGGCCTGGGCTCGCAGGGGTGTGGAAAAAGGACGAAAGTACATGATGCTAAAAACAAACAATAAAAAAACCCAAAGCTTAAAAATCTTCCTTCAGGTGAGAAGAGCCTGAGCAAGGCAGAGGCAGTCACCCTTGTTGGGGTGAGGCCGAGGGTGACTGGGACATTAAGAGTTTGAGTTTGAGGGACAGGACAGGCAGCCTCCCCACTGCATCCCGCCTGTGCTGCCTTTGTCCTCCACCCACAGGAGTCATCTGTGCTCCCAGCCTGGCCTCAGCCATTGAAGTATTTGTTGTTGTGATAAAATATACTAACATGAAGTTCACCATCTCAGCCACTTCCAAGTGCGCAGTTTTTGGTGCAGTATGTACAATTGCTGTTCAAAGGTCACTGCCAGGCACATCTGAGCTCTGCGATCTCCCAGTGGAGATTGCCCAGTCCTCCTGCCTCCCACCTCAGCCCTGGCGCCTCTGTGGTCCTTGTGGGGCTGGCTCATTTCATGGAACAGAATACTTTGCAGCTTCCTGCTGTAGCCTATGTCAGTTTCCTTCCTTTTTATTTTCATTTTACTTTCTTTGATCCCAGGGCCTTACATATGCTCTACCACTGAGCTCCTCCCAGCCCCTTTCCTTTTAAGACCAGATAGTGTCCTGTTGCATGAATAGACCATGTTTTCTTATCCATGTGACTTTATTTCCAGGTGTTTTTTTTTGTACTGGTAATCAAACTCGGGACCTCACACTTGCCAGGCAGGCGCTTGTGCCTCTGAGCTTTGTCACCAGCCTATCCGTGTGACTTTGGACATCCAGGTTGCTGCTACCTATAGAATTTTGTGACAATGCTTCTATAAATGGGAGGCTGCACATAGGTCTTAGAAATCCTATTTCACTTCTTTAGATATACTGTATACCAGAAGTGTATTGGTGCATTTTGTGGTGGTTCTGTTTTTTATTTTTGGAGGAAGTTGCACACTGTTTTTCATAGAGGCTGCCCCATTTTACATTCCCACCGGTAGTATACAGGTGTTCGTTCTCCCACGTCCTCATCAGTGTGTTATTCACCGGAGGGTGGTGTTGCTGCTTTTGGTAGTATCCCTCATAATAGATGTGAGTGATATCACGTTGTTTTGTGTTTCCCTAGTGAGTAGTGATGTTGAAGCATCTTTTAATATTCTTCTTGGCCATCTGCACATCTTTGGAGAAATATATTTTCTTTTTTCTGTATGGAGTGTTGAGGATTGAACCCAAGACCTTGTACATTTACCTATTTTTTATTCAGATTATGGTTTGGGGGGCTGGGGATTTAGCTCAGCTCAGCTTGCCTGGCAAGCACAAGGTCGTGAGTTCGATTCCCAGTACCGGAAAAACAAAAAAAAACAAGATTATGGTTTGGTATTGTTGAGTTTGAATTATTTATGAATATTAATTCCTTACCAGATCAGATAAATAGTTTGAAAATATTTTCTCCCGTTCTGTAAGTTGCCTTTTCATCTTGTTGGTCGTTTCCTACGTGGTGCAACAGTTTTTTAGTGTGGTATAATCCTGCCATTGCATTTTTGTGCCAGCTACCCGTGTTTGGTGTCCGATCAAAGAAATCCTCGCCAGTTTATCAGCTGTGTTCTGTGCTGTGAGCATGGGCAGCTTACCCAGTGCTTCAACCCTCAGCTCCAGCCACTCCTTCCAGGGTCACATGCAGGATGGAACGAAGCCTCTGACCCAGGAGAAATGCAGCCTGGTTTCCAGTTGAATGTTTTATCCCTGGACCATGTGACTTCAGACACAGACCGGAACCTCTCAGCCTAACAGCCTTCCCTCTTTCCCTCCCACCTTCCAGCAGCGGTGGCACAGTCCCGAGCAGACTAAGAAATGAGAAAAATACCCAACCATGGGGCCCTGCGGATGACGAAGGTGGCGTACCCCCTGGGGCTGTGCGTGGGCCTGTTCATCTATGTCGCCTACATCAAGTGGCACCGGGCCTCCACCCCCCAGGCACTTTCCTCCATCACCGGGGCAGCCCACCTCTCTGCGGGGTCGGCTGCTCGTGCTCATGAGGTCTTCTATGGAATCATGTTTGATGCCGGGAGCACTGGCACCCGCGTGCACGTCTTCCAGTTTGCCCGGCCACCTGGAGGTACCTGGCCTGACCTTGAGGCCCTCTGCACCCACACAGAGGGTCCGCCCTCTCCCAGGACCCCCAGGGTCACCTCACCACAGAAGACGGTGTGGGCTGAGCCCTGCCTGAACACCCCTGGCAGCTGGTCAAGGTGCAGCTGCCAAGAGCTGGGAGGGGGCTCAGCGGGGAAGCACTTGGTACAAGGCTCCAGGTTTGCAGTCTAGGGCCAAAAACTGACGGGGCAGGGGGAGGAGAGGGAGAGAGGCGGGGAGACAGGAAGAGAGAATAGATAGAAAAATGTAGATAGATGGGTGGCTGTGGAGAGAGGCTGAGTCAGTGTGGGTGGCCACATACCTACATTCTCCAGGAGCCCCGATTATCTTAGCAAGCAGAGACCACCACAAAGAGCACCTGAGACCCTTGAGGACATTGCTGCCCTGTCCTCTCCCCATAATCACTGGGAGGGCCGGTAGCCAGGACCATGACAGAGGCCAGGGGTCCTGTCGGGAGTTTAAAGCAGGAAGTAGCCCGAGTCAGGCCATGGCACAGGAAACGCGCAAGGAGCTGGCAATGGGGATGCAGACAGCCAGGGCAACGGTGAGAGGGGCCTCAGCAGGGAGGACCTGAGCCTGTGCTTCCCAGGGGGGCTGAGGCGGGCAAGCATAGGTTTCTCTTACACAGAGCCCTCGGTGGCCACCTGTCCTGTCTCACCAGAGGTTTGTCCTCCACAGTGCCCTTTGCCTGGCTGTGTGCCTCTGTGGTGAGACCAGCGCACCCTCTTGGGCCCTAGATGGCTTGCATAGCCGTCATGCTGGCATCTGCCAGTTGCCACCAGATACTTCTAGGACCTCTCTCCAAAGTCATCATGGCATGTTTTGTTTATTTCTGATTTTGTTATATTTTTATGTTTGACTAGAAGTTTGCTTTTGAAAAAAGTTCAAAGCTTTATTTAAGATAATATACCTATAAAATCTGCATCAAAAATTCAAACTGGGGGTGGTGGTACCTGCCTATAATTCCAGCACTCACGAGGCTGATACAGGAGGATTGCCATGAGTTTGAGGCCATCCTGGGCTACATAGAGAGTTCAAGGCCAGCCTGAACTGCATAGTGAAACCCTGTCTGAAAAAGACAAAAAAAAAAAAAAAAAAAAACTGGGTTTTTTGAGGGGTAGCACTGCAGATCAAATGTAGAGCCTCACGCTGAGCCACCCCATATGTTAAATACAGCACAGTTCTGGCCCACACATGAGGGATCTTATCCTGCTAAACTAAGGGGCACATGTAGGCAAGAAGGGCCAAAGAGCCCTGTTGTTCTGAGATTGGTCCATATGGTCAGACAGTTGACTTTAAAAAGCCTGGCTGCCTTGGTATGGTGACATAAGCCTATAGTCCCAGTACCTGGGAGGATGAGGCAGGAGGGTTGACAGTTTAAATCCCATTTGGGAAATTTATCAAGACCCTGTCTCAGAAAATTAAAAAGGGTTAAAGACATAGTTCAGTGCAAAGACCCTGGTACCAAAAGATGTCTGGCTAGTCACAGTTGTATATCTTCATACATTCATGTCTGTTTTCCTAGATAAACTTACTTTTCTCTTTGCTGAGACAAAATACCTGGCCCCCAAAGTTAAGGGAGGAGAGGTTTATTTGGCTCGCGTGTAGAGGTTGCAGTCCATAGTTGGCTGGCTCCAGGGCAGGGTGGTGCAGCAGACGGGCATTGCAAAGCAGAAGACAAGCAGCAGCAGCAGCTATATGCAACAAGCAACAGTAGCAGCTTCTTTCTGTCCCTTTGTATTCCCCTGCTGGTAGCACTCCCAGCTAGAGCTATGCCAAAGCAATCAGTGGACTGATTTAGTAATCACACACCCTTACTCCCAGGATCACACACTCTAGATCCCACCATCACTGAACAAGCCCCACTGATAACTGCATGAGGCTTTGGGAGCACACCTGGATATAAACCATAACATGAACCTTTTTAAAAGTACTTTCTTTTCCTTTAGAGACTCCCACCTTGACCCACGAGACCTTTAAAGCGCTGAAGCCAGGGCTTTCTGCTTATGCTGATGATGTGGAGAAGGTAAAGACCTCTGTTGCGCCCCCGGCACCCTTTCCCTGTGTGGTTAGGTAAAGCCCACTCTTTCCCTTTAGGTTTGGCAGGCAGAGGAAAGTAGTCCTGTGGTGCTGCTTGGGGCGCTGGGCCTGGAGCACGGCTGGAGTGTGGGGGGAGCAGGTCTGTTCCAGCCTGCTGGCCCCCACACGCAGGCCCCATACCACCAGAGGCTCAGCGTAGCTCAGAAGCACAAACACTGCAAACCTACAGCATATGTTACTTGAAAGCTTAGTTAATTTTTTCACTAGTCTTGTGGGTTTTGCATGATGTTCTTTCTTTTTTTATTTTTAACATGCTAGGGATGGAGCCTAGTACCTCGTGCATGCTGGGCAAGTGCTACATCACTGAGCTACACTCTTAGCCCCATAGTGTATTTTTAACTTTAGTTTTTTTGCTGTGGGTGCTTTGATTGAAGAAAGACTAAAAACCTAGGTAAAGTGAGAAGGTACTATATTCCGGAGGCTAGGAGTGCAGCCCAGAGATAGACCTTTTGCCTTATGTAGGTGAGACCATGAGTTCTATCCCAGGCACTGCAAAACTGTTGTTCAGAATCCACACTCTCCTGAGCCGTCTCCACTCCATGCTGGTGCTGACACTGACCTGTCCAGCCCAGGCGTCTCCAGCACCTAGCGGTGACATGGTTCCTCAGTGCAGTGCTCAAGGGGTGGAGTTCAGTATGGAACCCAAACTGCTGTTTACAGCAGCCTCATGAGATCAAGGAGTCCAGACCTGTCAGGCTTCCTGGGGGCGGGGGGGGAGGGGGTGACAGCAGGGCACTGTCACCCAAGAAGGCGAGAAAGATGCTGTAAAGGGTGGGCTCAGCCTCATGGCCCTAACTTGCCCTCACCCTGTGACATTCTATGCCCAGGGCTTCACATTAGCCTGGTCCCTCTGCCCTACACACTGTCCCTGTCCTCTTCTGATTTTAGAAGTGACAAGAAAATCATGTTATAAATCCAAAGGGCAGGAACCCCAGCGCTGAGGAGGCTGAGGCAGGAGGACCACTGCAAGTTTGAGGCCAGCCTGGGCTACAAAGTGAGTTCAAGGGCAGCCTGAACCACACAGTGAAACCCTGTCTCAAAAACAAAAAAAAAAAAGCTGAAGGACGGAGTAGCATTGTGACCCTAGGTGCTGGGTGTGACAGGCTCTGCTTTGCTGTCACAATGTCCGCAGAGTGCTCAAGGGATCCAGGAGCTGCTGGATGTTGCTAAGCAGGACATTCCGTTTGACTTATGGAAGGCCACCCCGCTGGTCCTCAAGGCCACAGCCGGCTTGCGCCTGTTACCTGGAGAGAAGGCTCAGAAGCTGCTGCAGAAGGTAGGCTCAGCACAGGGCTCCTGCACACCAGGCACCAGCCTTCAAAAGTGCTCATGCTTTGGAAGGGCAGCCTGCCCTGGGACTCGGTGGGGTTGAGCGCTGTGGGCACTGAGCTTCACTGGCTTCTGTCAGATGTTCATATGTGTCTGCCCTGGGCCAGGTGTGGTAGGCACGCCTGGGCACGCCTGTAATCCCAGCACTCGGGAGCCTGGGGCAGGATCACAAGTTTGAGGCTGGCCTGGGCTATATAGTGAGATTCTGTCTCAGAAAGAAAAACAGGCTTGGCTGCCCAGGAGGCCCCTCAGCCTTGGCTGCCACCCTGTGCTCCTCAGGGTCTGTGTGTCTCTCCTTGAGGCTCCCGCTCCACACCCCTGTGAAAGGATGGCCTGTCCCGTTTGTCTATCAGGGTCCCTCACTGGGGTGTGAGACTTGGGGTGGGGCAGAGGTACTGAAGTTTCTGGGTGCCGGAGCAAACTGGCAGTGTCCCTGGAGCGGCGCCCACCAGATCCCCAGTCTCGGCTCTGCTGTTCCGCTTCTCACCCTTTGTCTCACCTTCCAAAGCCAGGCAGCACTTTGGGAAGCAGCACAGCCCCCTTCCCCAGCCCACGCACTCCCCAGCACAGCCCAGGAGAGTCTCCTGGGTGGCGTGTTCCTGAGCTAGAGGAGGCTTGGACCGAGTGTGATGAGAGTGGGCATTGCCTCTGGGAGCAGGTGGCGTCCCAGTGTTCTGTTGCCTGGAAACCACTGGCCTCCCATTCCAGAGGGTGAAGACGTCTCTCTGCATGCAGGTGAAGGAGGTGTTTAAGGCATCACCTTTCCTGGTAGGGGACGACTGTGTTTCCATCATGAACGGAACTGACGAAGGTAGAGTGGCTGGAAGCACCTCCACGCGTGGCCCTGGAGACACCCCATGTGCTGCTGCTGCTGCTTGGAGTCCGTGCACAGGGCTCCCTCCTCAGTCGGATGTGGGTGATTGGGTTTGCAGCCCATTCCCAGTGCAGGTGTCCCAGGGCATCTTTCCAGCACCAGCATTAGAGACAGATTCTCATCTGGGCTCATGGTAAACCCAGCACAGATGGAGTTTCTGAAAATGTCACGCTTGGAGAGCACATACAACTCCAGCCGCTGCCGAGTTTAGAACATTGCAGCTGCATTGCTGATTCTGAGTCATCTAGGTTCCTCACTGACCCTGCTTTTAATTTCAACCTTAAGAGTAGGTTCTCTTCCTCTTCCAGAAGAGGACGCTGGGACAAAGAACTGTAGGGAGACACAACCTTGGGTGACAGGTTCAGGTTTTAGCGTGGCGTCTTCTAGAACAGTCGGGTGGAAGCCGTGGGATTGTGCCTGCCCAGCACTTCTCTGGGTGATCTGGAGGGTGGGGGTGGGGGAGGCCTGGAGGAAGAGGCGCACATCCTGGGGGCTGTGTGGACCCTCTCGGGTGCCAAGGACCCCCCTGCACCACTGTCTTGCAGGTGTCTCTGCGTGGATCACCGTCAACTTCCTGACAGGTGCGTGTCACTTGGCCCCACAGGTAACATCCTGCCACAGTCCTGGCGGGCTTCCTGTAGGACAGGGCCCTCGTGTCTGCAATTCTCAGGGCTCAGCACAGAGGAGGGCTCACAGGAGGACATGGAGGGGTCCCCTGCCTGGGCTGCTTCGCTCCTTCTCTCGTGTTGAGGACGCTCAGCTGTCCAGATACCCAGTGCAGATGCCTGTTAGAAACCAGCCAAAAGGAGCCCTTTTTCAAAGATTATTCTCAGCATGTGTCCCTTCACTGGAAGTAGGGAAAGGCTGCGTCTGATGTAGTATATAAGTGAGTTTCCTGGCAGGATCTGCCCTTCGCGGGGTGGAAAGAGATTGAGGGGGTAGGTGGGGAGCCTCTACCTCGATGCTTCTGGGGAGATGGAGACGGGAAGGCTGCGGCCTCAGTCCCACAAGCCACAGCCTCCTCCCCATTGCGCAGGGCCCGTCCATCATCTCAGCTGGTGTCATCCACATTAGAGCCATGGCTGATACCACCTGATCTTTTCCAGTAGACGTGGCACCTTTCCGCGAACATGTCTAAACAGTGGAGCAGCTTCTCTGCCTTGGTGTCCTGTCCATTGAAATTGGCTCTTCGCCTCCTCTGCCTTCCTGTCCTCCCTCTTCCCTAACACTGTTGTCTTCCCGCCGTCCAGGCAGCTTGCGAGGCCCGGGCAGGAGCAGCGTGGGCATGCTGGATCTGGGCGGCGGGTCCACTCAGATCACCTTCCTTCCGCGGGCCGAGGTAAGCAGCCCTGCCAGCCGTAGGGGCAGTCAATAGAGCATGGCGCCCATGGGTGGCTCCTGCCTGGGAAACAAACTGAAATGGAATCTGTCTGTAGTGGGACAATGAGCCAGATAATAACCAAGTGCCCTGCATGCTGGGAGGTGCCAGGAAGTCCTCACTGTCTGGGAGACAGAGCCCCAAAGAGCAGGAACGCTCCCTCCTCCTTGACCCTGGCTGAACCCTACCCAGGCTGGGTCAGTGCTGCCGGGGAGGGAGCAGTCTGGGTGCTTCATGTTCCCTGGCTGGCTCCTCAGTCTTCCACAGCAAGGGACTGAAAGCAAGCTCTGTAACTCTCTCTGTCTGAATGTCCTTGTTCTTCCAAATGACCCAGGACACGTAATCTGGTGTTTCCACAGGGCACCCTGGAGGCCTCCCCACCTGGCCACCTGACGTCCCTGCAGATGTTTAACAGGACCTATAGGCTGTATTCTCACAGGTTGGTTTCCAGGGTCGGGGAAGTCACAGCCCCCTGGCGCCCCTGCTCCAGCTTCCTTCACTGCCCACGTCGGGCCTAGCCAGGTCCTGGGATCCCCAACCACTACCTCACTCTGTTATACTTCGGAGGAGGCTTGGGAGAGATAGGGGAGCCCAGTGTGTGCAGGATGCTTCTGAGCTACCACCTGCCACGTGGCATCTTCAGTCCACTCCTCTTGTACCCCATGAAAACGGGTCCTGGCGGTGTCATAGCTCCTGCATGAGCTACTCAGTGAGGTCCCTTGATGCCTCAGAGACTCCTCGAAGGAGCAGGAAAGCTGTAGCAGCCTCCCTCCCGGGATGGGGCCACCTTACACAGTGGGCAGGGTCCAGCCATCCCTGGACCTCACCCAGGCGGACGTTGTCTCCACAGCTACCTGGGGCTGGGACTGATGTCGGCACGGCTGGCGATCCTGGGTGGAGTGGAAGGGAGACCTGGTGAGTGGAGTGTGCTGCTCAGGGCTCTGCCCACCTTTGGTGAGAGGGAGGAGCCACCTGCCCTCTGTCCCCACTCGCCATGGTGGGACTGATCCAGGAGAGATGTTTTCCTCTGTATGAGTTATGATCAAAATGTGAACATTTAATTTTTTTATTTTTTTGAGACAGTGTCTCACTAGTTCAGGCTAGCCTTGAACTCACTATGTAGTCCAGGCTAGCCTTGAACTTATGGTGATCCTCCTTCCTCAGCCTCCCGAATGCTGGGATCACAGGCATGCACCACCACTCCTGGCAACATTTAAATTTTAGATAAGTATTACATAAAGATGCAGTGCCTCTGATCCCCTTCGGAATACTCCCCTTTCCTTTGAACACACTTGTCCTGTTGTTCTTGCCACATTCTGAAGCAGCTCTAGAGTCCTCATTCCTGAGTGTCTTTATGAGGTGTGATCAAAAATACTGTGAGTGGTGCTGTCAGATGCTGTCCAATGGAAAGGCAGGCTCCTAAAAACATCCACGTTATTTACTGAAGTTAGCACCATGTGACTTCTGGCTCCTTCCAAAATCAAAATGACCATGAAAGCTAAACATTTGAATGGATTCAGGACATTGAAGCAACCCGGATGATGCAACTGAAGACACTCAAGAAAGAGGACTCCAGAGCTGCTGCAGAAAGTGGCAGGGGTGATGGGATAAATATGTTCAAAGCCGGGGGAGGATTCAGAGGGAGTTAGTGGCAATGTCTCTGTAGTATAATAAAAGTTTTTAATTGTATATATTTACCATCTTTTTTGATCACACCTTGTACATTCTAAGTTCTTTTAAAAAGAGTCATTAATGAAATCACTACCTAAACAGACTTTGAGAGTCCAAGTAACTGTGCAGTCATCCACTACCTTGGGAGCCATCTTGCATGCCAGTCAGCTGCCTGTCACTGTGACCGGATCTCTGAGCCATCAGCTTACAAAGAGGAAAGGCTCGTTTCAGTCCCTGGCTCCAGAGGTTTCTGCCCATGGCCTGTTGGCCCTGTTGCTTAGGGACTGTGGGTGGGCACCAGATGGCATGCAGCAGCTGGGAGGCAAGGCGAGGCAGGGCTCAGGCTTGTACTGTGCCCTCTGAGGGCATTGCCCAGTAATCGACTTCCTCCCACTGGCCTCACCTCCCAGTAGCACCACAGGCTGGGCACTAGGCCTTTTACACAGGCCTTCAAAGCACTTAAATTAACCATAGCAACCTAAAAACCTAGTCCTTCTGGCAGTAGGAGGGTTGTGATGTGGTAACCCTGAGAGCCCCCTCTGTCCTCACCTTCGCTCTGTGAAAGGTCACAGAGCAGGCCTAGCTTCTTCTGGGTGTAGATCTGAGGAGCCAGGAGTTCCCTGGAAGGCTGCCTCACCCCAGACCCTTGGTGCCCCCCATTGGACAGAAGCGTTGTGTGTGTCCCCCATGCCTGGCATGGCCGGCTTTCCTGTGGGCACTGTCAAGTCTGGACAGTGCATGTGAGGCACCCAGGGCCCAACACATCCCTGGCAGCCACTTGCCCTCTGGCCCTTCCAGGGCTAGCTCTGCTGCCACCGTGGGACCCCTCGCCTGGGACATCACACCTCTCACGCATTGCTCAGCTCCTTCAAGTCCTGGGGGCAGCTTCCTGCTGGCTCCTCAGTGTGAAGTAGGGGCGCGTCAGCAGGGAGAAGGAGGCACCTGCTCCTCCGTGCAGCTGTGATGCCCTAGCCTGGCCTCCACCCACTTCCAGTGCAGACCTGGCCAGAGAGGTCAGCAGCAACACTGGGGTGGGCAGGCAACCTGGGACACAGAGCCAGCTCTTCCCGCGCCAGCTGTGGTCCCCGCTTTGGTGCTCTAAGCAGCACGGGGTCAGTTTGTAGTACAGTGGCATCTGGTGGCACTCGACTGCCCCTGCCACCAATCTCTGGTTTCTCACGACCATGGCCATCTGAGAAGCTGGGTAATGATGCCCCCTTGGGGTCACCTCTAGGGACACGAGCTGTCAACTGTCACCTGGCAGTGTTTCCACACAGAGGAGGCTGTGGAGCCTCCAATAGTCCAGAGCTGGACTATCCTGAGTCAGGTCCCCTCTGTCACCAGCAGGAAATGTGTCCCCTTATGCCTGGTGCCTTTGTTCTCCATCACAGCCCCTCCCAGCTCCCGGAGGCCCCTGGCTGACAGTGGCGCCATGGTTTTCCTCCCCGCTTTCTTCCTTTCTTTCATCTTTTCTTTTTTTCAGCCAAGGACGGGAAGGAGTTGGTTAGCGCTTGTCTGTCTCCCGGGTTCAGAGGCGAGTGGGAGCATGCGGAAATAACGTACAGGATCTCAGGACAGAAGGCAGGTATGTGGGTTGCTGCCCATTTGTGGCCTGTGAGGGTTACACAGCAGCCCACCGGCCTCATGCCTGTCCACACACCTGTCAGGCAGTGACAGCAGACAGGCCCACACCTGCTGGTCAGGTGCTGCTGCCCGCACCTCCCTCCATGTGCCATGGGCTTCTGCAGGGCAGCCCTGAGCACCTGGCACTGCAGGGCCCATAACCACGGCTGAGCTGCAGCAGGAAGGGCACCACTACTCCTGTACAGCTGCTGCCTGGGCCCTGCCCAGACGTCCCTCTGGATTCCTCCCTAGAGGAGGATCAAAGTGTCATGCCCAGGCTGGAAATGGCCTGGCTGTGTCCACCTCCAGGGACCAGGCGGCTCCCTGTGACCAGGGGTCTTGGTGGGACAGCAGCCCATGGGAGAAGGTGCAGGGAGGTCCCTGCGGGACTGAGGTGTCACCCTGGAGGAGGGAACCTGGGGGTGATGACTGTGGCCAGGCATCGATGGCAGAGCCAGGTGCCCAGGGTCCCCCGGGGCCAGAGCAGCCCATGCCAGGCCCTGCGGCAGTAGGAGGTGGTGCCAGGATCCCACCAGGTAGCACTAGCCTGGGCAGCACTGGAAGGGCGAGAATGGCAGACCAGGCAGAGTCACTCACAGGTGTCCACAGCAGTGACCTGGTCGCTGCAGTTTGCTAACCTCCGGGCCTGTGTCTGGGCTTCAGCCACATGGTGGCCTTTGTGACCCAGGAGAAAGCAGTGCCCCCATTGGGGTGGCAGCTGTCGTCTGCCTCTGTGGGCAGTGGGTCTGTGGCACTGGTCCACCTGTGTCAGGCGCTTGCCCCCCTCCTGCAGGGCGTCTCCATGAGCCTTGTGCCAGCAGGGTGTCTGAAGTCCTCCGAAACAAGGTGCACAGGGCAGAAGAGGCAGGACACGTGGACTTCTATGCCTTCTCCTACTACTATGACCTGGCGGCCAGTGTGGGTCTCATCGGTGAGAGTGGCTGGTGGGGCCCAAGCCAGGGCTGTGGTGGACAAGCGACATGCAAGTGGTGGGGGTAGAGGCAGGTGCCCCCATATCAGAGCACTGAGGCACCTTTCTAGAGACACATTAGCTCCCGGCGCCACTTGGCAGTGCCATGTCCCTGAGGTGTAGATAGTCATTTAGGGCTGACTCCTTCCCACTGGAAGGCAGGTCTGGCTCAGCCGACCCAGGCACCCCCATCCAGGACTCCCACTGCCCACCCTCCTCAGCACAGGAGCCAGGCCTGGTGGAGAGGCCTGGGGTTCCGGGCTGTATGGCACTGTTGGAGAGTTGCTGGCATTTTAGGCGTGGAGACTGGGATCTTTTCAGTAAGTTGAGAATATCAGAAACCATTGCTGGCTGTGAGGATAGGAGTGCTGATGCTTTGAATAAAACCTGGAGGAGAAAGGTGTGCACCCCGCTACACGGCCACGCTGGCCATGGCCACCGTGCGGGGCCACCTGGGCCTGGCTGGGCTTGGGTTAGCACAGCCTGCCGGGCCTGCTGTCCCCCCCAGGGGTGGCTCTAGAGACCAGCTGTTCAGAAAAGCCACTGCAGCTGCCTGCCAGAGTTGTGCTGCCTGCTCCAAAAGAGCAGCATGGGCCAGGTGCCCTCCTGGGACAGCCACCCACCTGCTCTTAACACATGGCAGGTCAGATGGCTCCCACTTTATTTCAGAATGTTTTTCTCCACAGTTGAGAAATACTAGCCAAGCCAGGTGTGGTGACACACATCTATAATCCCAGCACTTGCGAAGCTGAAGCAGCAGGATCACTGTGAGTTCAAGGCCAAGACCCTGTCTCCAAAAAAAAAAAAAAAAAAGAAACACTAGCCAGGTGTGTTGGTGCACACCAATAG